TGATGTTCTACCACAGTTGACAGATCACCTGAAGACTTGTACCTGATCATTAAATACCTTAACGCTAACCGAATATAACCCAATCCAGCCTAACTCAGCCTAACATAACTCAACCCAAACCAACCTACCATAGCATTACATAACATAACCTAACTAACAGCCTAACATAACTCAACCCAAACCAACCTACCATAGCATTACATAACATAACCTAACCTAACAGCCTAACATAACTCAACCCAAACCAACCTACCATAGCATTACATAACCTAACCTAACTCAGCCTAACATAACTCAACCCAAACCAACCTACCATAGCATTACATAACATAACCTAACTCAGCCTAACATAACTCAACCCAAACCAACCTACCATAGCATTACATAACATAACCTAACCTAACCCAGCCTAACATAACTCAACCCAAACCAACCTACCATAGCATTACATAACATAACCTAACTCAGCCTAACATAACTCAACCCAAACCAACCTACCATAGCATTACATAACATAACCTAACCTAACCCAGCCTAACATAACTCAACCCAAACCAACCTACCATAGCATTACATAACATAACCTAACCTAACCCAGCCTAACATAACTCAACCCAAACCAACCTACCATAGCATTACATAACCTAACCTAACCCAGCCTAACATACGAATGGAGGAAACTGCAGCGGGCCTATTGGCCCATACTGGGCATTCCCATTTACACCCAACCCCTATTGCTTATATATCCATCCAACCTGTTTGAAGCTATCCAGCGTATTCGAGTTAATGATGGTGTTTGGTAACTTGTTCCAGTCGTCCACTACTCTATTTCCAAACCAATGTTTACCTATTTCGCGCCTAAATCTAAATTTGTCTAATTTAAAACTATTGTTACGAGTTTGCTCCTGGTTGGATAGTTTGAGTTCCTTTGTAATGTCCGCTTTGTTCAGCCCTGACTTTCCATTTATACACCTCGATCATATCGCCCCTCGCCCTACGTCTCTCGAGGGAGTGCAAATTAAGAAGCTTTAACCTTTCTCTGTACTCAAGGTTCCTAATGCCCGGGATTAGTCTTGTCATTCTCCTCTGAATTCTTTCCAAGGATTCTATGTCCATTCTGTAATACTGTGGCCAGAATTGAACTGCGTAACCCAAATGAGGTCTCACAAGCGCAAGATATAGTTTTAAGATGACCTCGCTAGTCTTGTAATTAAGAATCATTTAACGTCCCCTTTGTTTTTACAGGAAATATATTTTTATGGTGTATTTTGGTGTGTTTGTGTGTATGTGCGGATCTTCATCTTCTCTGGAAAATCCCCATTTATGAAAAAATCTCTGAAACTTACAGAACTAATACGTCAAAGAAACCTGACCTAACCTTACCTAACTTCCTAGCAGGAGGCCCCGCCCCCAGACCCCTGCCATATTAAACAGAAAGTATTTTTTGATATCTGGTACTAGTGAAAGCAACTTGGTGGAGGGGTCAGCGTGTAATTTTACCTGTTTAGTGGACATGAGAGTACTGAACGGGTCGGTTGTAAACACACAGATGACACGCGGTGACTTTGCAGATTTCCCGAGGAATATTTACAGTAAATAATTCATCTTTCGCCATTTCTTCCAAAATAATGACCATCCAAGAATGTTGAAATGTAACGTAACCTATATCTAAAGTCCAAGAAATAAAACATTAACTCTTTCTATAGAAACTGGCGGAAACGTTAAAACGAATCTTAACCAGTGACTTAATATCAAGAAATCTAGGAGTGAGTGACTATAACATCAGTTCATAACACTTTTCCCTCTCCTCACCCTTATCGATATATTTCTGGACATTTCTAAAGCCTTTGATACTGTCGACCATACCCTCCTCCTGTCAAAGCTTGAACATTACGGCGTTAGGGGCCTGTCCCACAATTGGTTTACGTCATATCTGTCCAACAGGAAGCAGTATGTCTGCTACAATAATCATCAATCTGACTCCTCACCAATTTTGTATGGCATCCCCCCAAGGTTTCATTCTCGGTCCTGTGCTGGTCTTGTTGTACATAAATGATATAGTTCACGCCAGCGCACTCGTAAAATACAACTTATTTGCCGACGATAGTAACCTTTATGCCAGCACTGAACACTGAATTGACTAAAGTCAGGACCTGGGTAACACGTAATAAACTGACTTTAAACTTTGACAAAAAAAACCCACAACACGATCATTCACAGAAGGAAAAACTTACCCCCAGACTTGGACACCCTGTACCTTGGAAATACAATCTTCAAACGTGAACAAAATATTTAATTCCTCAGAGTTATTGTTGATGATAAACTTAGCAGGAGGAACCACATCAAGCCATTCAAAGTAAAGTCAATAAACAGTGCTGTATTTTGTGTCAAACTCGACAGTCACTCACTCTCACAGCAATGAAAGAAATCTATCATAATCTTGCTTACCAACACCTGATACACTGTCACACACTATGGGGGGCCTCTGGCTCTTCAGAAACACAACCCCTGATCACTGCACAGAAGAGAGTTGTGCGGACAATGACCTACTTGAAAAAACTGATCACACTATCAAACAATTTGCTAAATTGAAAATGTTAAAATTCCAAGATATTAACACCTACTGCTGTGCCCTATTTGTTTACAAAACTGCCAATCACTTGGTTGACAATAATCATTTCCAGTTCCGGAATAATCAGAGCTACTAAGACCACCCTCCATGCGCTCCTCTCAGTCCCAAACCTCCATAAAATATCACGGTGTGAAGGTGTGGAACAACTTACCCCCACCCATCCGAGCAAAGACTATGCTCCCTTCCTTTAAATCATCTCTTAAAAAAATTATATTGTATAAGTATTAATTTTTTTTGTAATACCTACTTTATATTCCAACTTTTATTGTACCACCAAAACCATTATATCAGAAATTATTATGTAGATAGACAGAAATTACCATTGCAATAGATATATTTGCCAACTAGACATGACCCATGTTGTACTGCTTCCCTCTCTTATCATATTTATGTATATCAACTCCACTGTATAATATGTATGTACTTATAATATAAATGTAAAAAATAATAATAAAATGAATATATATATATCGAAGTGATAACCGTGGTAACATTCTGATATGTTCTTATGACCACCAAGCTATTGTACTATTCCAGATGATTCTAAATGTTACATAATACTTCCTTGAGATAAATGTACAGTATACATCATGTGCCTAAAAGAGAGCTCAGGTTCTCAACTGGCTCAGTCAAGTTAATAATGTTATTATTTTCCACTCTGTATCTGTGTTTTTCTGGCTAAATAAACTGCTTCAATGTCAGTATATCCCTCTATCACCAGGTGGGGTCATACTTCGGGTACAGTGTGGCAGTGGGTGACATGAACGGAGACAGGCTGGCGGACGTGGTTGTGGGTGCCCCGTGGTACACACACCTTCAAGGCTCTCAGGACTACGAGGTGGGGCTGGTGACACTCTACACCCAAACACCGCAGGTATGGTGACCACGCTACAGTACCACCTGTAGCAGGAAGGGTGATTAGTGTTCATTACCTGGAGGTATAAGATTATGTGTTTATTATTGGCCGTCTGGAGAGTCAAGGCAGTACATAGATAGTGGTGGTTTGTCAAACTGAACAATAATTTTATTGATAACATGTACTGTATCCAAACCTAGTGAATCCTAATCTAACCTAACCAATCGTAATCACACCGAACCTAACCTCACCTAACCAAACCTCACCTCACCAAACCAAACCAAACCAAACCAAACCTAACCTAACCAAACCTAACCTAACCAAACCAAACCAAACCTAACCTAACCACACTCCCCCTCTCTCTACCCCACAGCACAACTTCCAGCTTAAAGTCAAACTCACTGGTGTCCGTTCACGCAGTCACTTCGGGTTGTCTGTTGCCTGCCTGGGTGACATCAACAGAGACGGGTATGATGACCTGGCTGTAGGGGCACCCAGGGACGGTCCTAGCGGCAGGGGAGGTGTCTACATCTTCCTAGGCAGCCCCAAAGGTCTCGACAAGAAACCCTCACAGGTGGGTAGCCAACAGAGGCACGTGTACTTGGGGTGTTATTCCATTTACAAGTCTTGGTGTTGAGTCTGTGTTTATGTCGGATTGAACAGGCTTTTGTGTTTTGTTTACTTGTTTGGTGGTATAACCTTTGTTTACTTGTTTGGGGGTATAGCTTTTGTTTACTTGTTTGGTGGTATAGCTTTTGTTTACTTTTTTGGGGATATAGCTTTTGTTTACTTGTTTGGTGGTATAACCTTTGTTTACTTGTTTGGGGGTATAGCTTTTGTTTACTTGTTTGGTGGTATAGCTTTTGTTTACTTTTTTGGGGGATATAGCTTTTGTTTACTTGTTTGGTGGTATAGCTTTTGTTTACTTTTTGGGGATATAGCTTTTGTTTACTTGTTTGGTGGTATAGCTTTTGTTTACTTGTTTGGGGGTATAGCTTTTGCTTACTTGTTTGAGGGTATAGTTTTTGTTTACTTGTTTGGGGTATAGCTTTTGTTTACTTGTTTGAGGGTATAGCTTTTGTTTACGTGTTTGGGGGTATAGCTTTTGTTTACTTGTTTGAGGGTATAGCTTTTGTTTACTTGTTTGAGGGTATAGCTTTTGTTTACTTGTATGAGGGTATAGCTTTTGTTTACTTGTTTGAGGGTATAGCTTTTGTTTACTTGTTTGAGGGTATAGCTTTTGTTTACTTGTTTGAGGGTATAGCTTTTGTTTACTTGTTTGAGGGTATAGCTTTTGTTTACTTGTTTTGTTTGTCTTTATGTGTGGCTTTCGGTGTCAAATTAATCCCCAGGTATTCTATCTAATTACTGTTTACTTTGACGTTCCCAGTAGGTATTTCTGTCTAATTACTGTTTACTTGACGTCCCCAGCACGTATTTCTGTCTAATTACTGTTTACTTGACGTCCCCAGCAGGTATTTTTGTCTAATAACTGTTTACTTGACGTCCCCATCAGGTACTACTGTCGGAGTCGCTGGCGCAGGATAGCGTGAACACCTTCGGGTGGTCTCTGGTGGCGGGCGAGGACCTGGATGGGAACGAGTACCCCGACCTGGTAGTTGGCGCCCACGACACTAACAGCGCCTTCGTCTTCCGCACTAGACCCGTCGTGTAGGTTAACGCTACCATTAAGTAAGTATCTCTCTGACTCACCTAGACCACTTGTGACTCACCTAGACCGTTTATGACTCACCTAGACCGTTTATGGCTCACCTAGGCCGTTTATGACTCACCTATACCGTTTATGACTCACCTGGACCGTTTATGACTCACCTAGACCGTTTATGACTCACCTAGACATGTAATACCTTAACCTAACCTAACCTAACCTAACCCAACCAAACCAAACCCACCTAACCCAACCCAACCTACCCCCACTTAACCTATCATAACCTAACCCAACCAAACCTAACCAAACATAACCTAACCCAACCCAACCAAACCTAACCAAACCTAACCTAACCTAGCGTTCCTCCTGCCACAGATTCAAGTCCAAGAGCGGGATAATGGACTTAGACGTCAGGGGATGTTCGCTTCAGGACTCTACCGAGGTGCCATGTGTGTCTCTCCAGTACTGCCTGAGTTACACTGGTCACCGCGTCCTCAATACCCTACGTAAGTACCTTGACCTTGGTGTGTGATGTTGGTGTTCTGCTAGGGGGGTATTTTTCTGTCTCTCTCTCTCTCTCTCTCTCTCTCTCTCTCTCTCTCTCTCTCTCTCTCTCTCTCTCTTTTGTCTATTCTATCTATTTATCTATATCATTTTCTCTCTCTCTATCTTAATCTCTCTCTAAATCTCCCTATATAACTTAATCTAATCTAAATTAACTTAAGTTAGATTAGATTGGGGAGATTAGGTTAATTTAAAGTCAATTCTATTCGTAGCTTCCCTGTGTGTGTTAGGTTAGGTTAAATGACGTTAGATTATGTTAATTTGAGTTATATTAAGTTAGTTTATGTTAGGTTAGGTTAACTTTTCGTATCTCCTATCATAAAACTTATCTTTGTACCTGTGTGTGTCAAAGATGGAAGTTAGGTTAGGTTAAGTTAAATGAGGTTAGGTTAGGTTAAATTAAATGAGGTTAGGTTAGGTTAACTTAGACACTCATATGTGTGTACCTGTGTGTGTCAGAGATGGCGGTGTGGGTGAGGGTGGACACACACTCGGACCTGCCCAGGATGTTCTTCTTACACCGTGAACCAGAGTCTTCCAACAACATCACCATGAACCTAAGGAAGGCTGTCGAGAACTGCACTACTGTGTACACCTATATCTCTGTGAGTACCGTACCTAACCTAACCTAACCTAACCTAAGCCTGTTCTGTGAGGGTTTGAGAGAGTTATGTGTTTTGTGAGTACCCCAGTACAGTATATCCAACATACCCCAGTATAACCAACATACCCCAGTATAACCAACATATTCCAGTATATCCAACATACCCCAGTATAACCAACATATTCCAGTATAGCCAACATACCCCAGTATAACCAACATATTCCAGTATATCCAACATACCCCAGTATAACCAACATACCCCAGTATAACCAACATACCCCAGTATAACCAACATAACCCCAGTATAACCAACATACCCAGTATATCCAACATACCCCAGTATAACCAACATATTCCAGTATATCCAACATACCCCAGTATAACCAACATATTCCAGTATATACCAGTATATCCAACATACCAGTATAACCAGTATAACCAACATACCCCAGTATAAATCCAAATATATTCCAGTATATCCAACATACCCCAGTATATCCAACATACCCCAGTATAACCAACATACCCCAGTATATCCAACATACTCCAGTATATCCAACATACCCCAGTATAACCAACATACCCAAGTATATCCAACATACCCCAGTATAACCAACATACCCCAGTATATCCAACATACCCCAGTATAACCAACATACCCCAGTATATCCAACACACCCCAGTATAACCAACATACCTCAGTATAACCAACATACTCCAGTATATCCAACATACCCCAGTATAACCAACATACCCCAGTATATCCAACATACCCCAGTATAACCAACATACTCCAGTATAACCAACATATTCCAGTATATCCAACATACCCCAGTATAACCAACATATTCCAGTATAGCCAACATACCCCAGTATAACCAACATATTCCAGTATATCCAACATACCCCAGTATAACCAACATACCCCAGTATTACCAACATACCCCAGTATAACCAACATAACCCCAGTATAATCAACATACCCCAGTATATCCAACATACCCCAGTATAACCAACATATTCCAGTATATCCAACATACCCCAGTATAACCAACATATTCCAGTATATCCAACATACCCCAGTATAACCAACATACCCCAGTATTACCAACATACCCCAGTATACCCAACATAATCCAGTATATCCAACATACCCCAGTATAACCAACATACCCCAGTATATCCAACATACCCCAATATAACCAACATACCCCAGTATAACCAACATACCCCAATATAACCAACATACCCCAGTATAACCAACATACCCCAGTATAACCAACATACCCCAGTATAACCAACATACCCCAATATAACCAACATACCCCAGTATAACCAACATACTCCAGTATAACCAACATACCCCAGTATAACCAACATAAGGCCTCACTCTTGCAAGGAAAACGGCTGTAGTGTACAAGGCCGACCAATCATAATCCATCACTTGTTGCAACCCTTTTTTTTGATTGGCTGGCACCATTCCCTTTTATGATTGGTTGTTTGGGTCGTCATCCATCATCCACTCGGGAGAAGTTTTCCTTCTTGTAACATCCACCGGAGTCGTTAACGGTGTGTGTGTGTGTGTGTGTGTGTGTGTGTGTGTGTGTGTGTGTGTGTGTGCAGACTTGTTATCCGCCTTCTAACATCTGGAACTGCGTCTTGTACACATGACACACACACACACGTACACACACACACACACACACACACATACACACACACACTGAGTCTCTGGTCAAACTTGCGCCCCCTAAAGGAGTGATGATGAACAGGTCTCTCTCTCCCTCTCT